AAATTCATGTGACACGAATTAGAAATTTTTTATTTAATATAGAAAATAATTTGAAAGGACATGTCACACGACTGATAAAGTTTGTAATTCTATACGAAAATCTCCTTTTTAACGTTGCACTAAAATTAAATTCATCATATTCTTTTCGTTAATGTTAAATAATCAATGATGACAATAATAATGATAATGATAATGATAATAACCATAATAATGTTACCGAAATTAGAAATTAATTATAATTACAATGCTAATACTAAATACTATTTTTACCTTTATTTATTATTATTTATTTTACTTTGTACAACGTTATAATTTATTTAACTTTATTTAGTAATACATAGCCCCTTCAATCCGATCTTTTACTATTACCTTTTATTTTTATCTTATACCTTACGAGGTTAAGATTATTCCCATTTTCTTGTTAAGAAACTCGAAATAATTAAATCAGAAGCTTTCATCTGCGTTTATCAACAAATTCTTAAAGGGACCTCAATCCATTCACTTAGTATATTATCAAAATAAAATTTGTCATTCCTGCAGGATTAAAGGACACGTCAAGAAAGACTGCAAAGTCCAGCGACTAATTGAAGTAGAAGAAATAGAATTCATATTCCAAAAACAATCTTGTTGCAGCCACTATAAGAGAAAGGGATATTTGAGGAAGGATTGCGACAGATTAATTAAAGAAAATATTTTGCTCCATATTTGCCGTCTTGAATTCAACCCAACAATATATAAACAATCGCTACATATTTTTCTCAAGACTTTTGCGGCTTTGTTGATAGATTATGATAGTAGAAACCGGCACCAGGAAATCGAATATGGAAACGGCATATTCGTTCTGAATTAGCGGGAACTTTCTCGAAATCATTAATCCGGAAAAAAATCATACCAACAATTATTATTAGAGGATCCGATCGTTTTCCTTAATGCTATTAGTTAGTATAAGATATAGAGAATATCCGAAAGATTTATCCTCGTTATATCAAGGCTATATAACCACAGCAGCATGAACCCATCACTTCGCAAGAGAAATAAATGAAGTAATACAAAATTCTGAGGAACAAATACCTAGTAAAGAAAGTAACGACTCAGATAACGACTCAGAAGAATCGATTTTAGGCCTTAATCAATTTTTCAATTTAAATCAATCAGTAAACAGCAAACCAAAATCAGTTATTTTCATAAACGATTGGCAAATAACGTTCTCGAAATACCTCCTATTTAAATAAGTTTATTATTAAAAATACGTATTTAAAAAATAAATAATTACAATGTTTCTTCAAAAATAGTTCAAGTGACTCAATCTTTTCCAAAGGATTATTTGCTGCGGCAAGTACTTTGATCAAATATGTTGCTTTTTAGAAACTTGTTGGTATAAAGTAGGAATTGTTCGTTGTCTTAAAGAAAGATTATTGGATTATTGGATAATATTTTTGTTCTTTTTATACAATCTAGATGGTTATCAAGTGTTGATTTGCGATCACGTTTTACGGCATGCTTTCATACTATACAAAATAATTTAGTTCCATCTGCATAAAACTCTTCTACTTTGATTTTGAGCACTTATTGACTTAAGTTTTCACAGTAAAAAAAATTTTTTATCAAGACTAAAAAATTGCTACCTTTCTATTATATAATTAATTATGCGATACATATTTCTGGGCACACTAATTATAAATTGGCAATAAGGAATCATGTTTTACAGATATTAATATATAAAAATACCGTTATCATAATTATAGAAGATTAATCCATTACAATCGTACCTTATTTTTTAAATATACCTGCAGCATTGCTTTTTTTCTTGGTTAGTGCAGAAGTACCCGGGCTAGATGAATGTAAGCCAAATAGTCCTTTTACTTCTTGTCGTTTGATAACAAAAGTGTCATTACTTTTTTAAAAAATCGTATAATGTTACTGAACTTTTTGAAATAGAATTTGTACTTGGTAAAGCATTTCAAAAAATCAAAATTAATTCAGAATCTCTTGTTACGATCATTTTATGGTAATAGGCTCTTTATCTTCATGATATTGATAAATTTATTATACGGTATACATACATTCGGCAGGTACAATAGGAACATCTTCTGCATTTAAACAAAGTGAGGGTCCCATATGTTTAAAATAAATGTGGTCAGCAATAGAAATTGTGAACATACATGGGATGGTGATTGCCTAATTACCGTAAATACGTAATACGTAATTATCGTAATTAATTACCACTTACCCTCTTTAAAAACTTAATTACGAAATTAATTACGGGGACGAATACAGAATAAATGCTATTTGAAATCAAAGAAACTAAAAATTTTCTATGCAACCCGTTTTTAGCAAACCTCAGAGTTCTATACCGCTCTGATAACCAAATGGACAATTAAACCCAACTGTTTAATTTTCGACTACAAAAGTGTTTTTATAAGAGAAACCAAAGAATATATTTATTTATTATGTGTGAAATTATTTTGTCACGCGTAATTAATTACGATAATTACGTATTACGTAATATTACCGTAAAGTTTCAAAGTAGGGGTTGATATCTTTCGAGACTTTATGATAGATTATGACATAACCGTGAAAAATATTGGGTCAAGTTACCAGAACAAATTATAAAATTCAGTTCAGAAAACCATCGTCATATTTTTTTGTAAGCAATCAGCAAACAATACATTATTAACAAATTTACATTCTTCCGATTAAAAAAAAGCCAAGACAAAATAAGTAAGCTACAGATTTGGGGAAAAGCTAGAAATGTTAAAAAAAACAAATTAGATAACAAATTGAATAAAAATTTAGAATATGCATCAAAATGAAGAAGGCCTAATAAAGAAATTAATTATACGAATTATTCGAATTATTCGTTTTTGTTCGTTTATTCGAATTATTTGTTTTATTCATTTATTCGTTTGTCCGAATCATTCGTTTATTCGAATTATTCGTTTTATTCGTTTATTCGAGTAAAAATTTATTTGAATAATAATAAACTTTCAATGTAATTCGAATACTCAAATTCATAATAATAACGAATACGATAAATGATTGAGTCATATGATTTTATAGCCCCGCGACACAAAAGAGTATCATTGCTATTTTGGGATTTGAAGAATTTGATTGTTCTTTTTAGTATTAGGATGGCGTGCACTATATAGTCAAACCTTTAAAAACTTGAAAATTTTGGTATAACGAATGCAATTTTTTATGTTTGACTGTATGTATATAAACCCGGCTCTGCTCGTTTTGACTCATTCGGAGCTTTATTGTACAGTGATAGCATGGAATCGAAAAGATTAGCTTGATTATTGAAATACTGTATATATAAAAATTTCATTGATATGTTTAAGTAGAGGATTAATGTCATTCCTGTCCTATAAAATTTTTTTTCGGAAAAACAGCATATTTTCTTTTTTTTTCCTGTACCCGAATTTTACACGGAAAGAGCACTTTTTTTCCATGAAAATATTTATCAACCAACAAGAAGCTAAGGGCGATGATTCGCAAATTTCTGATATAAGTTGATTCATCATAGGGAAATTGTACAAAATAGGATATAACCTATCTCACCTCGTACGGGGAAATTTAACCACGGTGAATTTGGCAAGTTTCCAGATGATTGAATTTACAGGACTATCCTAATTCCACCACAGCCAGAGGAATACCAAAAAATGTCTGCATTAGATATATGTCCATACATTTTTTATCACTAAAACAAGAACATATGAAATCACAAAATCAGGTTTGGGAACAACAATTTTCCTTATCATTACTATTATTTCCTGCGCTGAAAAACATTTACAAAATAAATATGATGATATAGAAGCTATATGATATAAGAAGTCGTGATGATGTAAAAGATATGATGATAGAAAAAGCGTATAGAAGCTATGAGCATAGTGAAGTTGTAAAGATAAACGATACGAAGCCAGAAGATATGTAATCGTAGCAATTAAACAGGCTCCTCACAAACCATTAACATATACCGGACAATTATACTCTCGATATCAAAAAGATCCGATAGGAGTTTCTCCTAGTCAGGGAAATTTAACGAAATAGTTGGTAATTCTTAAGTGGGTCAATAATAACTTTTATCAAATAAATATTTAAAGAACTCTAGAAAAAATTACAAAAACAAAAAATAAAAACAACAAATAAATTATAATTTTACAACAGAACAAGACCTTTTAATACCCTCCTCTAAATCAACCAATGGTTCGTAACCTAATCGTTCTTTTGCTTTTGAAATATTAAAATATCTATTATTAGTACTAAACTTGATTCTAAATCTAGTAAATCCTGGTGTGCTTCCGGTTAGGTAGGATGTTAATTCTGCTAATGATGCAATTATTATGCCAAACGATTTTGGTAGAGTGATTATATAAGATGGGTAATGATTAAATTGTGCCCAAACCATTCTAGGTAAATCCCAAAATGGTATTGGCGTACCATTTGTTATAATAAATACCTAATATTCAAAATTTTTGTAAATTGTTAAAATGATAAAATTCTGAAAATGGAATAATAATATTCACTAATTCATTTAAAAGATACCTACTTCACCGTCTACACCATTTCCCTCTATTAATTTGTCAGCCGCTAATAAATGAGCATAAGCTATATTTTCTACGTAAGTCCAATCAACCAAATTTGTATTATCACCAATTTGAAATTTGGTTTGTCCACGTTCCATCACTTTAATCAATGCTGGTATAGCCTGACGATCATATGGACTATTGTCATGATTTAATTTATTTTAGTATGGTTATTATTAGACAAGAGCTAATAATGTGGTAATTTTAAGATTTTTTTTTTCCAACAAATCAAAAATATTTAAAAGTTACCCAAATATTCCGCATGGACGTAAACAGCATGTAAGTAAACCATTTTTACCATTAGCTGCAATTACAAGTCTTTCTCCTTCAGCCTATTGTAATAAATACATGCTTTCGTTATTAAATCACATATAAATATTAATCTATCAATAAACCAATAAATCAAAGTTAACTAATACCTTTGTTTCATTATAAACATCCATATGTTTATCAGGATAAGGATAAGTTTCATCCGCATTAATCAATTCATTTACACCATCATAAATAACACTAGAACTACTAGTATAAACCAATTTTCGAACTTGATTAGCTAAACATGCTTCAATTACATTTTTGGTTCCTTGTACATTAACCTTCCAAAACATTTCTTCGTTTTTACCATCGTGAGGTGGTGACGCAGTATTAATTACACAAGTTATTCCATTTTCCTTAATCGCTTTTTCAACATCTTGAGAATTTGTTAAATCTCCTATTACATGTTTTATTTTTACCTCGCTTTTATCATCATCATCAAAGTATCGTTGAATTACATCAAATACTGTAATGTTTTTTTCACCACGTTTTATCAATTGATTTACTATCCATCTGCCAACAAAACCTTCACCTCCTATTATCAAATAGTTTTCCATTAAAAAAAAATTTTTTTTTCGTCAAATGATGATCATTAAATATCACACCAAAGATTACACAAAGTTTTACTACTTGCTCAGTTAACTCTTTGAATAAAATGATATTTTTTACCACTCTTTTTAATTTCGTATTCAGGAAAAGAGAATTATAGCTCACATTTAATAAATAGCCTTAAGGCCTCTTATAAAAGAACTAGAAGATTTAAAAGGTAATGGATTTGTTGATATATAAATAGGAATAGTTGGATTGTTAATCAATGATCTAAAACTCTTGACACCAGTTTAGGGTTTAACCAAAATATTTTTGCCATTGGTGTGCTTGTTCGTTTTACTTGAATAAATATTCAATGTGATTCGAATATTCAATTCATAACGAATAAACAAACAATTTTTATTCGAATAGAATCCATACTATGATTATAAGAAAATAAATAAATTATTATTATTATTATCACTATAACTATTATTATTAATTGACTAAAGAAAAAGTGTCAATTGCTTTCTGTTACTGCCATTATCATTATTATTACTACAAGGATTACGAATTTTAGTTGGATTGGATAGATACATTCTTGTTATATTATTCGAATTTGCCAGTTAAAAATTTAAATTAACTGGTTAAAGAATTTTTGTGCGATGCCAACCTCTACCCAAATCCGAACAATATTTTCGTCCAAAGTCATTTATTTGTCTGTAAATATTACGACCTGATGCCATTAATACGATTAACACAAGGATTATTTTCTGGATTAGAAATGAATGCTTGTGCAACTAAAATATGAAAGGGCTGTGTGGACATTGCCATTAATTTTAAACAATATTCGTATATAACCTTCTCTTTTGCAGGTATTTGGCCTTAAAGTCTTACCATTTTTCTGGATGTGTCCAAGATTGGACACTAATAAATTCGAAGCAGATGCCAAACTTCCATTATGATATGATTTCTTTTATTATTGTCAGTCGTCACTTAAATTTTATAACAATTTCATATTATCATATCATTGTGATATATGTCATTTGATGAATTGTATATTTTCGAAAAACATCATGACTGTATTGCTGTTACATGATCTGTTTCCCACAATATATAGCGTGTTGCGAAAAAAATTGCGCGTGAATTGCAAAGTTGATTTGATAAAATGCGTGTTTACATGATTACTATTTGCTTATCATTAATCATATTTACAAAGGAAAAACCATCCTTATTCTTATTTAAACCTTGCATACATTGTCAGCTCAGAACTTGAAGCACAACGTCAACCGTTTTTACATTATTGGTTGTATGATGTCAAAGAAGCAAATATTCCCATTCGTACTATTCAATGTGACCTCAAAAAACTCAGAGAAACAGGCACTATTTGAACATAGAGACGTCCATAAAAAGCTACACAAACAATAGCACGTTCGGGCAATTGGTTTGTTGTAATTCTACAGTTACAACATGCCAACTTGCAATCAAAATTGAAGTGACACATAATGTATCTATCACACATACAAATATTCGGCGACACATGACAAAAAAAGGGATATAATGGTGCTACACCACTTTCCACCTCAATGCTCACCAGTAATCATATTGATGTTCGAAAAGTATGGGCACTAGCTCATTTTAATGGTAACTGGGATCGTACCATTTTTATACAGATGAAACAGCTTTTGACCTATTTTGAAATAAAGTTGCAACATGGTACAAGAATGGAGAAAGACCAATTAGAAGATTATCAAAGTGATGGCTTGAGGTGGAATTTCATTGAAGGACAGAAATAATGGATGGTCCATTTATGTGAATATTTTGCAAATCCAACTACTTCCTGCTGCTCAAAAGTTATATAGTAGTAACTGGCATTTGCAACAAGATAATGATCCTAAGCACACTTCACGTGTTGTGAAGGACATTTTATCCCAAAACAATGTTCATGTCATAGACTGGCCATCTAACAGTCCTGGTCTGAACCCCATTGAGAACATGTAGCAGATCATTAAAAATAATGCGGAAAGAAGAATGCCTAAAGATACTAGCGAGCTAAAGCAATTTATGGTTCAAGAATTCGATACAAAATTTAATTAATCTATGAAAAGTCATTGTAAATTGACATTACAAAAAAAGGAAATTGAATTTCATATTAATTTCATTATATTTAATAAAGTAACTGATGTATCTGACTTTATTTATTTGTGTTATGTAATTGCTACGATATACAATTTTATTCGCGCGCCATTTTTTCGCAACACAATATATACGGAAAACAAATAATTACCATCCCATCTTTTTATTTTGTGTTAAACAATCTCTATTTTAAGTCTATACTCTTGGTTAAATAACTTGCAAGCAAGAACCATGGGTGAGACAGCTGATAAGAGAATTCGTGGTATATTAGTTCTTAGTTTTTGCACAAAAAAATGCTCAAACTTGTTTAACTAAACGCGTTTTGCACAGGCACCAACAAATAATTATTCTGTTGACTCTATCTTTACCCGTCCGATTCCTATAATCACAGCGCAGGATGCTATGGCCCTACTTTGGACGTACCACATAAGTCGCCTTCCCGGAAATACGAAATTCCAAGTTCGAGTTGCATATCTTACGAAAATGTTGGAACCCCTGGCCAAAAAGATTACAACAATGGAGACGTAAGCACTGTCCCACACAACCACATTAAGTTTTACATTTTCAACACGGAAAGGAAAGATTGTGAGGTACATTTTCGGAATATCGACTCGTTATGAAATGGTGGGAGAGAAACAAACAAAAGATCAGTTATATAAAAACAAACTGGCGGCAGATACAAGAGTGAAGATGATGCCAACATTATTTTTTCAATGTCCCAACCAAGGAAGAATTAGAGAACTACATTCAACCTGGGACAATTGCTCCGGGTTGATGCTCTGCATAGACAAAAACTACCCGAAGACACAGTTTTATCTTGTACTCCCGGGTTGGACGTGGATTTAATTATATGGCTTCATGCACAGATTCTTTTCATGGTAAATGCTCAATGATTTTGAGAATTTATTTTAAATTCAAACGCATACAATGGACTATTCGTTTTGGTATTTTTTTAATACTCTCTTTACCAAATGATTTGATTTTTCAATACATACAAATAAATCTTAAAACAAAGATATAATAAAATTTTTTTAAACAAAAGCATTGTCTTGAATGTGTAATACTTGTGAAGTTTTAGTTTCAAATAGTTTATCCAGGTAGATAATTGTTTAATACTATATAGAAGATAAAAAATCACTGTTATCATAATTGTGATGGCTAATTTAAATTTTGATCCCTGAAATTTCTTTGTAGCATTATGTTCACTTTGTCTGATTTTGTTGCAGTCTGCCCCATATGTCCTGCGTAAAAAGTTCTTAATATTTACCGTACACAATAAAGAGATTTTATCAAGAAGTTCATTGTAATGACCAAAATTTATTATAGGACATTGAAAAAAGTTCACTGTAAGCCATTTCCACCGTAATGAGCTTTGACTGTAAATGGTTTTAGGATATCAATTTATTAGTATAGCGACCAATTGGCAACTTTCGTACTAGCTCAGATCGTCATTGCAAAACCTTTAGATGTAATGTTGGTTTATTAAAAATAATTCAATTGGGGGCTTATATTTCCGGATGAGAATGGAAAACTGCCACAAGATGTTTGTACATGTATTGTTGATATCCATCCAAAATACCCTTAGAGATGATTGATCTATTAACAAAATCAAGCATTGATTTAAGTAGAGATGTAGAACAATTTGGTGAACTATTAATTAGTTCAGGATTTGTATTGTTTGATGACAGTTATATATAATTTTTTTTATATAATTTTGGCATAATTAGTAATAGGGGTATTATTAACTCAAAATCATTTTCCGCGCCCATTTCTTTAGTAATGTTGAGAATTTATATATATCATTTTTTTTTCCTTTGAATAAAAGAAATAGTTTTTTTAATTGAAAAAAATTTTTAAATACTATAATAATTATTTTTTATTTTTTGTATTATTATTTTTTTTTAAACTAATAAAGAGACAAAAAAAATTTATTACTCACGTGATAAACATTCTTGTCAGAACAAACTGGCCTTCTAAAGACCAGTGAATGGACCAGGGACAGGTCCAATTTTCTCGTCCTAATTACTACTATCAAATATATCTTGAATTTTATTTAACATTGCTTCTTGTGATAGCTTATCTTCGTCTGAAATATTATCAAATGTTCTAGAACCAAACAATGTTGTTGATTGATTATTATTATTATTGGTTGAAGACTTTAATTTATTTAAAATATTAGGTAATTTTGTTAAAGATACTCTTGGTGTTCCTTTAGCATCAAATTCTGCCTTCTCAACATAAAATGTTTCTAATTTACTACGATCTATTTGTGTTAAACTAATGACTGTATTTACAGGTAGCCGTGTTACTAACCCACCAACTCCAACAGAGTAATCTGCAGAATTACCTCTATTCAAAATACGACCTTGCACTATTATACTTGATCCTGTATTGTTGTGTGAATATGTCAATCCTTTAACTGGTCGTTTTGTTTGACTTTGATAGTTTAAATTTAAAAATTCTAAATAATCTACAATAGATGGTTTCTTTTGATCTTTTGTGATTTTTATATACCAATCCTCCCTCCTACTTTCCGCCTCCTTTAAATATTTTTTGAATTTTTTCTCCGATATTTTATCAATGTCCAAAAAATTTTGTCCTATCATTGGTTTAAATATTTTTGAATGTGGAAAATTTTCTTTCCATTTTCTTGGGAACTTCACTAAACCTTGAACACTATTGAATATTGTTTGATGCTCTGTTGTATCGAACGCTCTAATAGTTATTACATCTGAATGTGTTGTTTTTGGTAAATTACGTTTTACTCCCCATTCTCCTTTACCTTTATAATGTCCATAAGTTTTATAAACTTGTGGTAATGCTGGATCATATGTTGCCAATTTGGATTTTTTAAATAATTGAGGAAATGACATTACTAAACTTAATATATTCTATATATTTATATATGACTTTTAATGTATTTATCATTTAAAATTTTATTTTACAACACTTTTTTATTATTATTATTATTTTTGAAAAGAACAATTCTATATGTTACACGAGATTTAAATTTTGATCGTCATTTATTTTCTTGTTAAAAAATGGTATCGATGGCAAATTTTCAGGCGTATCTCCATAAAGTTTACGCTATCAATATTCAATTAGGAAAAAAAGTTTAGTTTATTATTTAACATGCAGATATATATTTAATTGAAAATCTTACCATTTTATGAGTTTTCCCAATACCAAATCTTTAATTCATTCATTGGTTTCTTATTAGTATATTTTTGGAAACATTACATTCACACAACATTTATAAATTGTAATGTCAATACCTCGGTAAGCCTCTATTTAAACCTTCTAATAAGACGCATGCTTTACACAATTCATTACTAGATATATATCCACAACGTTTACACATGCCTTGAACAGGCAATTTCACCTCATTCTTAACCTGGAATGCTTCGCCAGAATAAATTATATCTATTAATAATATTAATATTAACAATTATATAAAAAAGGTTTATAAAATTTTTTTTAAAAAATAACTAACTAATAAATGATCACAACACCTATTATAGTGCTTGGACGAATTGCTTCTAAATCTTTTAGAAATGTTCTAACATGTCCTCTATATGAATTTGGTGAGTAAATACATTCAGTAGAAAAATAGTCAAGTTTCTTGAAATATGCATACCTTTAAAAATATATACATATATGTTAGTACTCTTTATTCTTTTTTTTTTAAAAAAAATCAAATGCAATTAATTACATGACTATCTCTTTTTCATATGTATATTTAAATGGCTTGGATCTTCTTATACAATCTTCTCCAGTTGTACATATTTCTGTGCATCTTTGAAGCCTGGCAATATCACCTCTCAATACTAACAAGCAGCAAACAACAAACAACAATTAGCAATTAATAATAATTGCATATTTTTATATTTTTAAAAAGGAATTTTGGATTACTTACTGTTCATCAAAACTGTTTCTGCAATATCGTCTGCATTATGTCCTGTTACTACATGATCAACTTTCAATAGTGCAGCTCCACGATCTAAAGCTTGACGTCTAAATACACCACAAAATGTACCTGATATATTTATGAATACAGATGCAAATTATTTGATTTGATTAGTTTGTTGGTTGACATCAGATCCAGAAAAAAAAATCTTCAAGATTGTTAATTTATTGAATTTCATACAATTATTCTTTAATCCAACCTCTTTAACTATTTGATCCATACTCCATCCATATAACTCACTATATGAAACTATTTTTAGTGGAAGTTCATATTGCTCTTGATTTCTTTTTACCGTCTAAAGCAATTAAATTAACTCATCAATAACCAATTGTTTGACTCAATAATCCAATATCTAGTAGTAATAGTAATAGTATAGTATTACTTCTAAAGAATCGTCTCGATAACCTGTTATTCCCTCATCAACTGATAAAAGGAATAAATCTAAATCATAATTATATCTTTCATTCAAAAGTTTTAAAACATAAGCTAACACTGTGGAATCTAATTATACGATAATATATATATATATTTTTAGATTACGTTTATAAAAAATTGAAGTTTTTATTAATTAAAACTACCAAACAAACATATAATTGATTTATTATTATTACCTTTTCCTCCTGAGGCTGCAATTGCAACTTTATCACCCTTCTTAAATAATTTATTGTCTGTAATTGTATTATGCACCTCTGTTTCAAATACATAATAAAAACACTCTTTGCACGCTTGTTGCCCTGTTTTTGGTCTTTTAACAATTGCCTTTTCCTTATTGCAAATAATACAAAGCCTGACCATTTTGTTTTGAAAAGAATCTCTAAAATGGAGATCAAGTTCAGATCCAATTCAGATTCAGTTTATCACTTACTTTTTATTGCCAGAATGTTCGCCGTGTATTGTAAAGTTACGTTGCACAATATAAAAAATTAGTGTAACATTTAAATTTCCCACTATGATGCTTATACTGAAATCAAACTCATTTAATTCTAACATTGTAATAATTTTTTTAGAAAAACTTCAATATCTCCTTTCTTCAATAATAATAATAACCAATTATGAGTTCAAAATCTGACAAAGATACTTTAATTGATATGGGCTTTTCGTCGGATATGGTGTTAGTAATAAATAAATTATTGATTAATAGTTATTGCTCACATATAACTAAACTTTCTGGTTATATTATTATTGTTTGTTGCTATTAGGGATAAAGCAATGAAGGCTACAAAAGGTGCAGGTTTACAACCTGCTATGGATTGGTACGTAACGTAGATATTAATGTAATTAAATAAATATACTTATTGATTGAATTTTACAAATATCTCACATACACTCTCTCAAAAGGTTATTATCACATCCTGACGGCGATATTGGACAACAAATTGGTGAATCTTCCTCCTCCTCTTCTTCTACAGTCAAAAATAATGAAGATGATGGTAATCAATCAATCATTAATTGATTAGAATTTTCTATTTTTCGGAGGATTTTAATTTGATTTTTTTTATGCAAATTATTTACACTGGTTGGTTATTAAATTAAAGATGGTGAAATTAAAGACGGTGAACAAACAGCCCAATCATTACAATGCAACGATTGTGACAAATTATTTAGAGATTGTATGTATTTATTTTAAGTTGATTACAATTATTATTTCTTTAAAAATTATTTATATATTTATTTTTTTAATTATTTTAGCTGGCGCTGCACAACGTCATGCTTTAAAATCAGGTAATTATTATTAATATATAAATTGAACAAAAGAAAATACATAATAATTATTCCAAAAAATTGGTATATTTGTATAGGTCATGTCGACTTTTCTGAATCGACAACAGCAATCAAAAAACTTACAGAAGAAGAAAAACAAGCAAAATTAAACGAATTGAAGAAAGCTATGGCAGACAGACGTGAAGCTCGTAAGCTAGCAGAACAAGAAGAAGAGATAAATCGAGAGAAGATTCGACGCAAAGCTGGCAAAGAATTGGTAGAAGTCAGAGAAAAAATTGAAGAAAGAGAACTGAAGAAAGCTATCGAAGAAAGAAAAAAGGAGAAAGAGCAAGAAAAATTGGCCAAGGCAAAAATAAGAGCCGACATTGAGGCTGATAAAAGAGCAAGAGCTGCAAAGGTGATTATATGATTATATTTATAAGATTTTTGTATTATCATTATTATTATAATTTGCATTTAACATATACAAATTTGTATTGATTATTTGATTATTTAGCGTGAAGAGCAACAAAGATTAGCAAAAGCACAAAAAGAGGAAGAAACAGCAACTGAAACAGCAAATAAAATTGCATTTGCTAATGCTGTAGCGAATGATTATCCTGAAACAAGATTACAAGTAGGCAATAAATATATAAATCTATACATATTTATTTAACAAAAAATTCATATTCAATTCCCTCACAAAAAAAAAAAAAAAGATAAAAAAACCAACTGGTGCGCCTATCATACACACATTTCAATCATCTGATACTTTAGAAAATGTCTATGAACTTGTTGGACAACAAATTACCCAACCTTTTAAATTAATGACAACTTTTCCAAGGTATTGTTACTAATATATTAATCATTTATAATTTGTTTCTTCTAATACATTATATTATTTATTTATTTCCAATAGAAAAATATTGGATGGTGAAAGTAGAGAAAAAACTTTAAAAGAATTGAGTAAGTTACCATTCTTAATAAGCGAATTAAATTGTTAATTAATTAATCAATAATTAAAATAAATTGGAATAATGTTTTTTAGATCTCTCTCCATCAGCAGCTTTGGTTGTAAATCTTTCATAAACAACGCAAATAAAAAATATTTAATATTGTTAATTTATCAAGTAGTTTTGTTTTTATTTGATGGAAATTGAAAATACAATTAAAATAAAACCAATTTCACTACTTTGCACCATTATTGTATTATTTATTTTTAAATAAATGCTTACACCACGCGTAATTAGAATAGTGATAGCAGTGATGTATGGTGCTGATCCAAGATCGTCAAAATTTCATAAATGATGAAATATATTTTGTTTGTAAATAAATCACCCTATTTACTCTATTATTAATGCATGAAATGCACAGACATACTCTGATAAAATCAGATTAACAATATACTTTTTTACATAGTAAGAGGACTAGGTCAAATTTGCATCGCAGTTCACGATGGGGGTGATAATAGAATAGACCATAAAACGCTAAATCAAGGAGAATCAGCCAGACTGTAAGTTGCATGATTTTTTTAATGGCATTTATATATCTCACCGCACTGTGTGATCATAGGTCAATTCAAAAAAAGGAAAATGGTTCATATTTGTTAGTTAAAAACGAAAGAATATATCCTTGATAATGTCATTGGAAATCCGGGACAATCAGAAAATCAGACAGCAGGAGGGATAGAATTAGAATTTGTATTCATTAGTAGTAAACCAGGATATTTCCAAGAAGATGCAGGTGGTGGTAACATCAAGAGTGAATAATATATATGTGTTTTAATACATATTTAATAAAATATTGTTACGCCTTTTTTGGGCGCTAGTTTTATAATTCATCAATTACATGATACCAAATATCAGATGCGAATGCATGGGTTTGAAACTCTAAGCTTTGCTTCTCCTCGCTCTGTGAGACTGATTTGTAATACTTTTGCCTCCACTGCAAAATTTGTAGACGTCAACATCCATGTTTATCCAAGATTAATCGGAATTTAAATTTTTGTGGACATTAACTGACAAAATAGAATTATTTTTCTGTGAAAAGCAGGGCTGGATACAAATTATCTGGCTAAAAATTTGTATGAATTGAGTATGGTTTTTTCTTTCATAATATCATCAAACCATGCAGTACTTAGCCCCGAAGCCAATATACTGTGACGCAATAACTCTTCACCAATTAACCTATCTCGATCTGTCAATTATATATATTTTTTAGGATCTTCCCCTTGCTTTACCGCAGAATGATAAAAGTGCATATCTCTTTCTAGTTCGTCATGGAAATATTTTACGTCTCACCTTTTTTTCTCAGCTTCAGTAATGATCAAGAATTGTTCAAGACCAACCATAACTATAAAGATGGGGGAGTTGATACATATAGGTTGGATATTTATGTGTACTCGAGTTGAAGTGAAAAAGTGTTGTTAGAAGTACTCCATCAAAGATATTATCAAGAAAGGTTTTGGCCCACATCGGGCAAATTAAAACACTTGATTTTTCCAATGCGCTGAACACAGCATGTACTAAAAAAAAGAACTACCCTAGCAATAAGACCACATTCATAAACAAAACCATATTAATATCATAAAGATACTGAATAACCATAAATTTTCATATCAGAAATATAAACTATATAGCAATGATTTATTTGATTTATAACAATCTAGCTCATGTGGGTGGCAACCGCAACATGTAACCACTGAGTGGGTTATCAGAAAGAAGTTTGTAAGTTTTTGCAATCTTGAGTTTCTGTATAACATTCAATACATTGGATAATTCATTTCTAAAAGAAAGCATGACCTCAATAATATCATACAAATAGCATAAGTCTAACACTCTTCTTGGCAATGAGAACTGGAAAAACGTTTTTTTGCAATATAGTCCACGACCAACAATATATGCAGTTGAAATAGTGCAATTATATTCTATAAATAACAAATTACGTGTTAAATTTCAAAAGTGTAAAATAACAAAAATAACAATTGCAACAGAAAGGGCAAAACTTTACTTTCATCAGTTTGAAAACCGAATACTCTGAGTTTCTTAGCAACCTCAATATCACACATTTTATAATCTTCCAGATGGTCATTGGGCACGTCAATCATGCACCGTTCAAGTTTTACTTTATCTCCCTCTGCATGTCTCTTTGGAAGACGGGATGGTGCTCCGGATAGCTCAAAAATAAGAAGTTCTTTATCATCTAGATTGACGAGAGATCCTATACCATCAGCTTTTGAACCAATTCTACGTCTTTTGCCTTCTTCGAGATGTAAATTTCGGCGGTTTGCTGAGGGCACGCTTGAAATTTCACCCCTACAATCAAAAAGAAAGAGTTATTAACCACAGAAACAAGCCATCAAAAAAAAAGTTGCTTACCAAGTTATATCCATATTTTTGAATATAAAAATAAAAGGCTCAATTATGGGTTCAATAAAACGTACACGAAATGTTGACTCGGTGCCTGGTCGTTGTGCAAAATATCCTGGTCGGTTCTCGAAACAAAAAAATACTATCATTATGGTATTATTAGTTAAGGGTAATTTCGGTTCTTCATACAATAAAATTATACCAACAGCACTTACAAATGATCCACAACTTTACGAGTGTATCTATCTTCTTCCGAAGTTACTTTTTTATATGACTCAAATGATTCACGAATTTTTTCGATATTCGTTTCTTTCAAATAGCAGTCAAATTGTTCTTCAACAGATTTAGGCAATTTTATTGATGGTGATTGTGATTCAGAAATAATTTTTAACCACTCTTCAACTGTAAAGAATGGAGGTCTCTTTTGTTCTGTTGCATTATCAAGGTCGATAATGTCTGCAAAATATTCTTCTCTATATAGAAGAATAATAAATGTGAATAAGTCTATAATGTTAAATTGCAAGAAGCCATTACTCACTCTTCGGATTGTTCTTCATCACTATTAAAGCCCTCTGTATACAATTCATCTTGATTATCATCTTTAGATTTGGGGATTGAATCATTTCTATTTTCGACCAGAACATCTTGGAGTCGATCTTCTTTGGATTTAGGAATTAAATCGTTTCAATCTTCGACCTGAATGTAAAGGTAAAGTATATTCTAAGCAGAAAAAATGGTGCGATGTGCAGAAAGTAAGTACTAACCAGTTCAGCAAATCCATTGAAGTGTAAAGAAAATAATTTGTTCCCGAGCTTTCTTTTTTCAATGTCTTCCCAGAATTTGATGACAGCTTGAGATTTGGTTTCATTCTAAGTTAGAAAAGAATATATAAACAAAAATAATCAAACAAGGGTCTCGATTTACTGCGGTACCAAGGCAGAAGATGATCTAACAGAAAACCGAGCTCCGTGAAAGATGGGGTAAAATCAGAGGATTATACCACAAGATGAAAGCAGAGGATCACTGTGGCTCCCATCTTCCCGCTGATACCACTCTCCGAAAGCGGAGGAAAGCAGAGGATCTATTCCTGAGTCCAAAGCATAGGATGAACGCAGGAGCGGTACCACCGTAAGCTCGCACAAATAAAATGCAAATACATAACCTTATAATTATGGACACTTTTATCTGCTAGTTTCTGAATCCGTGCATCAGGATGATCTTTCGAGATGTCGGTAATTGCTTCAATTCAATCTCTGTGCGTTCTTTGTCTATCTGTGACAGCAATATTTAAAAAACATAAATATTCGAGGAGGCGATTTGACACGTTGGGTTTCTCTAAAATCTTTACAACTGTGTTCCATTCTTCAGAAGCTTTGCGTTTTGACATTTTTTTTTTATAAATTACACAAAAGAAAAACATTTGGACCAATTTATTCGGTGACACAGAAAAAATGCATAAACGTCACGCGGGTTATTAAGGTCATCGAGCCATGCAATACTTAAACCACTTTTTAGTATGCTACAACGCAACAACTCTTCACCAATTAATCTATCCCGAATACTATTTAGTTGAAGATTGATTTTTATGCAACTTCATATAACATGCAGAAAAACTGACACAAGAGGCTTGATTTATTGATAATATAGAAAAAAATACATCAGTTCGAGTGTGGCTAAACCAAACTCTACACATGTAAAAAACTATTTAACTAGGTTTATGTAATTGAATATGTCCATCGGTACCATGATAACCACACGATGTTGCATATGCCCGCCGAATTGTTTTCTTGCTAGAACCATGCTTAAAAACCAAAGTGCTTCAATAATTTTATCAAAAAAAAACCACATCTCCATCTCCAACCCCAACTCCAACTCCAATTCCGCTACATTGGATGCAATTATAAAAAAATTAAAACGAGATAATTTAGCTATAAAAAACGAAATTGCAAGAATGCAAAAAGAATCAGAATGGAGAAGTGAAGTCCGAAGTCAAGGTTTATGTTACAGTATAGCCACTATATGACTGCCTTTGGCAAGTTTAGCATGTATTCCATGTGTTGATTAATATGGTGCATATTTCTTATTAGGGCAAGCATCTGTAAAAAGTCTCCAGTCCGAATATACAGAAGCAACCGAAACTCTTTGGGTTGAATTTACAACATTATTTAACGAAATAAGGAAAAAAGAAAAACGTTCCCCCACAAAATTGTACTAGTAGTAGCAGTAATAGCAATAGAAATAATTTAAGTAACAGTAATATAATCTTAGACGATAATAGTAATGATGATAGCTAGTGTGGGGCGGGGAAAGGAACATTTCTTTACTGTGTAAAAGGCTTAGATATTAGGCAGACAACAGTTAAAATAGCACAGTTAATGATATGGAGTAGCAGGAAGGAACTCTCATTTTATGGGTTAGGGCTTGAGGAATTCCTCCCTTTTGACTTGCTACTCTAT